CTGGATTATGTGGTAGGAATTACTGCAAATTTTGGCCTTCTGTAAATACTTTAAAACTTTTTCAGTGTTTTCATTATTAGGATCCACTATGGCAGGCTTTGGAGTGGGCTGGCCATTTAATTCAGATATTTCAAATACTTTACAAGTAACTATTAGCATTTATTTCATCTACACGTGGGAAAACTATATTCAAAAGATGGAAAGGTCAATCAAAAAGTTGTTGCTCAAGGTCATTCAGATAAAATTTGAGATTAATCCTGAAAAATCAAATTCTCCCACAAAGACCAGGTCCGGCTAATGTGTGGGGTGGTGGTAAAAATGTTTATCAGACGTCCTCGTAGGAGAAACCGTTCAGATGGGAGGAAAAAATTGTACAGCCCAGGAATGGACCAACCATTTGGGTTTTTTTTCCTTTTCCTTTTTTTTTTTTTGAGAACCAAGGGTCCCCGCTCTGTTGCCCAGGGCTGGAAGTGTAGTTGGCAGTGGCGCGATCTCTGCTCACTGCAATCTCCGCCTCCCGAGTTCAAGCGATTCTCCCGTCTCAGCCCCCCGAGTAGCTGGGATTACAGGCGCGCGCCACCACGCCCAGATAATTTTTTTGTATTTTTTAGTAGAAATGGGGTTTCGCCATGTTGGCCAGGCTGGTCTCGAACTCCTGGTCTCGAACTCCTGGCGATCCGCCCGCCTAGCGCTCCCAAAGTGCTGGGACCACAGGCGTGGGCCACCGCGCCCGGCGCACATTTGGGTTTCGTGGTCAGAAAAAGCACGACCACCCCAACACATAAATCTGGCGAATCATACGCAAATTCCCTCAGGCTATATAACCTTTCACCGCTCTTCATACCTTTGGACAGGCACATATTGTTATTTTAGGGAAGGAAACGGATCAGAGACCTTGTCTCCTTTTTCTGCACTACCAAACACACCAAACGGCGTCCCTAGCAATCAGATTCCAGAAACATTTCCTTTCCTCTTGAAAGCCCACCGCTCCCTTCACTCAAAGAAGACAATAATCAGGGGCCTACAGAAGCTGTCCCGCCAACCTGCAGGGAAGAGCTGTGGAAGAACCACTTGCCGCGCCAAAAGCATCCCGCGCCGCACTATGGAGGCAGCCATCTTGGAGCGTACCAAAACGAAGGGCCAACGGGTTACGGACAGAGGAAGGGGCGGAAGGGGCGGAAGGGGCGGGGTTACAGCTCGACCTCTCGGGGCGCCCAGAATTGGACGAATCCCGTTTGTCGCTCTCGGCGCCAGGACCGACGCTCCGCCTCCTCGCCCCGGTTCCAGTAGTTGGTATAGTCCGAGACGGTATGGCTGCGGCACTTCGGCCCTCGAGTCGAGTTCTCCTGCAGGCACCGCAGATTTCGATGTATCCTGGGGTGGGAGGCTCCGGCTCCGTCAGCTGCTGCTGCCCTCTCGGAGGTATCCGCGGCCTTAGCCTAGGGAAAGAGGGGAGGGATGGGAGAGAAGGGAGTGTTAGACCCCAGCTAGCGTCTCTTTGGAGCAGCCACAGCTCCTAAGTCACTCACTGGCCTGGAGCGCACCCTGGCCCTCTAGTTGCACGTGGGGGCAGTGGTGACCCCTGGGGGTCGTGGATACCCCCAGTGCCTGCAAATCGAAGGACTGCTGGGGTCTTGACATTGGGGCTGTAATGCACCCTCATATGGGGCGACGTTGGTCTTCAGGAACACCCCTCCAGCGTTGGGAGACATTATTTTCTTTCTTTTTTTCTTTTTTTTTTTTGAGACGAAGTCTCGCTCTGTCGCCCAAGCTGGAGTGCGGTGGCACGATCTCGGCTCACTGCAACCTTCGCCTCCCGGGTTCAAGCGATTCCCTTGCCTCAGCTTCCCGAGTAGTTGGAACTACAGGCGTGCGCCACCACGCCCGGCTAATATTTTGTATTTTTAGTAGAGACAGGTTTCACTATGGCCAGGCTGGTTTCGAACTCCTGACCTCGTAATCCCCCCGCCTCGGCCTCCCAAAGTGCTGGGATTATAGGCGTGAGCCACCGCGCCTGTCCTTTTTCTTTTCTGCAGAGTTTGGGAGCAGAGGTCTTAAGGAGTCTGAGTTCTGCTAACAATCTAAAAGACTTTAGCACGTTTCTTCATTTTTCAAAACTATCCTTTAACATCTCTATGAAAAGAGTTAAATTTGAAGATGCTAGTGAGTGATAGTAAAAATGTTTGTCAGGCATTACTTTAATGTATTTTATATACATTAATTCCTTTTCTCTAGACAACACCCAGCAAGAGAAGTACCATTCTTTTCTCCATTTACAGAGGAGGAACAAGGTTAAGTAATTTGCCCAAGGTCAGAGGGAACTGTTAGAGGCGGGATTTGAACACAACCAACAAGAGAGAGACCTACTCCTAACCACTTCATTGGACTGCCTTTCTGTAAATAAATAGCAATTTTTATTGTTACCTTGTTACTGCAGCTCAGAGAACTCTGTTAGTTCGTGATTCTTTGGCCAAGCTTCATCCGTTTTATGTCATGCATAGCCAAGGATCTAAAGAAAGGATGATGTTTCCCAAATCTAGTAAGCTGTGATCAGTGATTTCCATGTATCTCAGATGTATTTTGAGTCCACATCTGAGAGGCCTTAACCCCCTCATTTCACAGAGGACAAAACTGGGAGTTCCAGTGATCACGCTGCAGCTTTTTCCACTACTCTATGCTTCTCCCTGAATAAACCAAAACTAAATATGCCTGTTTTGCATTTAAATGTTACTGGTTTTTTTTTAATGCCCTTGATACCCTTTAACAGATGGCGAATGCCCATTTGTACTTCAAATCCCAGCGTCCTGTCAACCAGTCCCCACACACGGTTTCTCACTAGCTATGGTTAATCACTAGCTTCATTCACACACAGAAGTAAAACTTGTTTTGCTGAGAATTTGCATTCTCTGATAGTTCATAAATGGTTTTTCCCAGGAATTATATTTGTACAGTCATATTTGTACCTGTCTAATGGGTTATTTATAATAGATGTTAATTAGAGGCAGTCAAGCTCTACTCATGTGCTAACTTCTAAAACAGTCAAAATGACTTTACTTTTTTCTTTCTCTGATTTTTAGCTAAAAGATACCTACTTACAGATAATGTGGTGAAATTAAAAGAATTTCAGCAAAAGAAAGTGGCTGTTGCATGCAGTCTTCCTGGCACTAAAGGTAATGGAATCTATTTTGTTAATTCTGTAATTTATCTGTCATTTAAGTTTCTCTGTCTTTATCCCTCCCTATTCAGTGTCTCCTTCAGTGACTTTATTATGCCTTAGAAAAAGTTGAGACCATTTATTGTTAGTTTCATAGTGAACTCTTATATTCATTTTGCATCTCACACTTTGTTGCTAGAAAGTCTACAGCTCTCCTCTTATTCCTTCTCTTACAATCCCAGAGAAATATTAAAGCTAGTGATGCGATTGTTCGTCTAGATCTGTGCCACTGACAGTGTGGTTTGAGGACCAGCGGCATCAGCGTCTATTGGGTGGTTGATAGAAATGCAGATAGAAAGGCCCCAGATCATTCATATGCACAATAAAGTTTAAGAACTTGAGATGATTGGCTTTCAAGCTTTTTGATGTAACCTTCAGTGAAAAATGCATTTTATGCTGTATCTCAGTACACGCAAACATATCTATATATAAATGAAATCAAATGAAACAAAACAGTACTATGTGTGATGGTATGTTTTGACATTTTTCACTCTGTGCTAGAAAAGTCAGTAGGATAAAACATTTCTTAAAAAACAAGAGAAACCTGACTGCCAAAACTAGGATGTGACTGGGCGTGATGGCTCATGCCTGCAACTCCAGCACTTTGGGAGGCCAAGGCAGGAGGATTGCTTGAGCCAGGGAGTTTGAGATCAGCCTGAGCAACATAGACCTCATCTCTACAAATTTTTTTAAAGTTAGCTGGGCGTGGTGGTACATCCCTGTAGTCACAGCTACTCTAGGGGCTGAGTTGGGAGGATTGCTTGAGCCTGGGAGGTCTAAGGTGTAGTGAGCCATGATCACACCACTGCACTCCAACCTGGGTGACAGAGTGAGACCCTGTCTCCACAAAAAGATAAATCTGGGATTTGCTTTGAAAAAAAAATCCAGTGTGTTTGGGGATTGTAGAGTAGAGGAAACATAATTAGCAAAATACTGATAATGATTGAGGCTGGGTAATGGCACTCAGGGGGATTATTATACTGTTCTTTCATTTCTTGGGTATGTTTGAAAATTTTTGTTATTAAAAGCTAAAAGCAAGAAGACCACCCTAGGTCTTTTTTCCTTTCAGCACCTGAGGAAGCTTGTTGCATTCATTCTCTCCCTCCTGCACATAGAGTTCTTCCCAGCATTTCATACTGTTTATTGTGTGTGGATGCAGCCGTGGTCCCTGGGGGTTGTGGATAGACCCGCTTGAGCCCTCTTTATGAACATATCCAAGACTTTCCTTTTTTTAAAATAACTCTTGGTGTCCCTACTGACTTTTTAAGCTATAGACCCAGCTTTCCTTCCTCTCACTGCCAGATGTTTGTGAACCCCTGATTAACACATTAATATTCTCTTTGTTTTGGTTTATTTTTTAAGAGACAGTCTCGCTCTGTCACCTAGGCTGGAGTGCAGTTGGCACCATCGTAGCTCACTGCAGCCTCAAACTCCTGGAGTCAAGCAATCCTCCTGCTTTAGCCTCCTGAGTAACTAGGACTACAGTGCCACCATGCCGCCTAATTTTTAATTTTTAATTTTTTGTGTGTCAGGGTCTCACTGTGTTGCCTAGGCTGGTCTCAAACTCCCGGGCTCAAGCTAGTATCCCGCCTCAGTCTCCTAAAGTACAGGCGTGAGCCACTGTACCCATCCTGATACTTTCTGCCTCCATTCCCTCACAGTTCAGTCCTCCAGAAATCAGTGTTCTCTTGCTGCTCCACTAATTGTACTGTTATATAATACCATATATGGGGCAGAAAAAATAAACCTTTGGAATGGGGGGAATATATTTATCCCCAGTTGAGTAGGCTCAATCTAGATTTCACTTCAGTCTTTTCTTTCTACCCCAGGTATTTTAGATCTATTTGAGGTTTGCAGTTAGGACTTCATGTCATCCAGTTGTGATTTCCAGTTGTCATAGTCTTCGTAAGGCTGTGGCAGTTGTGTACATGTTCTAAAAGGCAATTAATATAGTCAGTGCCAATCTGCTCTGTTGTCAGACTGCTATGTTTAAAGTCCTGTCAACCTTTCGTCATTTTGAGCCCACAGTGGTACTCTGTTGTATACCACACCATTAACATACTCATCCCTCTGGCATCCTGGCTTTCCCGTGATGGACTCTGCCCTTTCTAGGGCGGTTTCTGGTTGATCTAGTCAACGGCTGTTCCCTCCACACCTTCCATTCCCAGTTCTCTTCTGTTGTTCATGCTGATTCCCTTACGTAGAATGCTGCCCTCCTCCATTTCTCCAACCTGATTCAGCCCTTTCCTGTCTCACTGGTACCCCTCCACGTTCACCAACCTGGTCTGTCCTGACTCATAATAATAAAGGTTGTAACAGGACTCTTCTGTCCATTCTGAGTTGTAATAGGTGTCGTAACAGGAGAGAAGAGTCCTATTGTGTTTATAGTCATTCACGTGTCATCTCCTCCATCGTTTTCAGGTAGCTTTGTATAAATTTAGCTTGCCTTGCTTTAAGTTCTTTGAGGGCAGGAACTATTCCTTATCCTTCTTGGTGTCTCACACACAAAGAAGGATACTTCTGAGTATGATTATATGACAAACAAATGTTGATTGATTTGTTTTAAAACACAAGTTATATCTGTTGAAATAATGGATTCTTAAGGTTTTTTTTTTTTTTTTTTTCTGAGACAGAGTCTCACTCTGTCACCCAGGCTGGAGTACAGTGGCATGATCACCGCTCCTTGCAACCTCTGCCTCCCAGGTTCAAGAAATTCTTGTGCCTCAGCCTCCCCAGTAGCTGGGATTACAGGCGTCCACCCCCACACCTGGCTACTTATTGTATTTTTAGTAGAGATGGGGTTTCACCATGGTGGCAAGGCTGGTTTCAAACTACTGACCTCAAGTAATCTGCCCACTTCGGCCTCCCGAAGTGCTGGGATTACAGGCATGAGCCACTGTGCCCAGCCTCTTAAGGTTTATTAAGGCAGATTAAGAGGTACAAGATGTAACATCATCTCTTTGATGACTAGAGACTTTTTAGACTGGAAGTTGCTTAGAAATATTGAATAGACTAAATCCTCGTAGATCTAACAGGTGACAGAAGGAATGAAAATGAGAAAAATAATGTTTCTATTTACTGGCAGTTACCATATGGCAAATGCTTTACGTCTATCATCTCAGATAACCCTATGAGGAAGGTACCACGATCCTTACTTTATACATGAGGAATCAAGTCTCAGAGACAAGGGTCTCCATCAGAATGCAAGTGACCGACCTTAGATTTCAGCCCAGGTCCTTCCATCTCTAGAGCCTTTAACGGTTACGTGGTTCTGCAAATAAAAATTGGAGGATCCACTGCATTATCTCAAACCTAGTAGGTCTTTTCTTTTAAATTGAGAACAGTGCCTCTGCTTCTAGTTCTTGTGTTTTAGATGTATTTGTGCCTCTCCTTTCAGCAACATTCCTTCAAAGCTCTGGGCCTTGGAACGAATCCTATAGCTATTTCCTGGCAGCTTCTGATACTGACAACAGTTCTGCCTTCTGGAAAGCAGATGCTTGGTTGGTGCCTGCTTTGCTTTTCACCCCACATTTTGATGGGAATAAAGCCCCTTATTGATGCCAAGAAGAGGTGCCTCCTTTTGGTTTTTGTCCCCACAGTTGATCAGATACAAAGACAAGGAAGAATGATAGACTGTGATGACATTGAAATGATTCTGTCACTGAAAAACTGTTTGCTGCTGTTTGAGGACTGTTTTCCCCCCTGCCCATTACAGAGTACTTTAGCATGCCTTCTAACAACTGAGTAAAAAGAGACCGAGACGAATGAAAAAGAGGTGAAGTTGAATCAAATGAAAGAAACATGACTCATGTGGGTCCACCATTGTGGACAAACCTACCTTCAACTGACATTTTCTTTTTAGTTTTCCTGTTTGTTTCTCTGCCAATTGACGGTTTGGGTGTCTGGCTACATTTTCTTTCTTTTTCTCATGAGTCACCTATAGATTCAGTTATTTGAGCCAAGCCTCTGGGACAGTAATTCTCAAACTTTAGTATACCAGAGGATCACCTAGGGAATCAAAAATGCCAATTTTTGAGCTCTTACCTCAGAGATTTTATTTTAGAGAGTCTTGAGTGGGCCTGGCCCTGTGCCCATGCCCCTGCCTCCTATGACAGATGCCATCTGCTGACACTGTTCCAGAGGAGATTGGCCAGTGATGGCAGCTGTGCATCCCTGAGCCCCTCTCAGTACCCCTCTGCAGTGAGGCGGGGTAGGGCTTCCCCATCTTCCTGAGGTCAGACTCCTTCTACTCCCAGTCAGCCTGAGTGATGGTCACCATACTGTGCTTTCTTCCAGAAACTTATTTTAGAAACTTGAAAGAGAAGCTGACCCAGAACAAGCTTATCTTGAAGGAGGAGTTGATAACCTTACTTCATTTGTGTGAGTCCCGGGACCACGTGGAGCTGGCTAAAGATGTCATTTACAGGTGAGGCATTTCCTTGGAATGCTGCCACCCTCATCCCTTCTTACTCTGTTCCTTTCTGTGAGCAGTCTCATCCACTTCGAAGATGTTGCCACCTCTACACCAGTGACTTCCAAATCTCTTGTTCAGATGCCTACCTTGAACTCCAGACACTTATATTCACTTATTGAGCACACACTTACTGGGTTCCTACTACATGCTGGGTGCTGAGGATAGAAAAGCAGATATTTTATGTCTAAAGAAGTTACTAGCCTATTCACTAACTCCACTGACATATCCCCTAGGTCTTCAAATTCAACATGTGCAAATTCATTGCTCTTCGTCTGTTTTCCTTCTCACTGGCTAGTCACTCAGGACAGATACTTTGGAGCCTCTTTACTCTCATCTCATTTGCCTCTCTTTCCTGATAGGGTAAGAAATCCTCTTGGTTCCGCTTCCTTGGTATCTCCCTCAGCTCCAGCCCTCCTCTCTCTCTCTCCCCATTGGCAGTGTCTTAGTTCAGGCTTTAATGTCTCTCACCTGAATCCTTTCAGTGGACTCCTAACTATTCTCCCTTCTCCAGTCCTGCTATGCCTTTCTGATCCATTATTAAAGTTTCCCATGTCAGAAAGAACTCACATGTAAGCATAGCCTGCCACTGGGAAAGCCAGCAAAGGCTTCACTTACCAGGGAGCAGTGTGACATCAAATCAATAGACTTCATTTCTGAAATTACGTTCATTGCTCTTTTCCATTTTTTTTTTTTTTTAACTATTTTCTTTTTTTTTTTGAGATGAAGTCTCAATCTGTTACCCAGGCTGGAGTATAGTGGTGCGATCTTTCAGCTCAATGCAACCTCCACCTCCAGGTTCAAGCAATTCTCTCTGCCTTAGTCTCCCAAGTAGCTGGGGTTACAGGCGCCTGCCACCACGCTCGGCTAATTTTTTTATTTTTAATAGAGAGGGGGTTTCACCATGTTGGCCAGGCTAGTCTCGAACTCCTGGACTCAAGTGATCTGCCTACCTGAACCTCGCAAAGGCTGGGATTTACAGGCATGAGCCACCACGCCCAGCCCTCCTTTCCATTTTTAAAAGATCTGTTTCTACATATGAACCTGCATTTATATGTACATTTATAGAGAGAAATACAAGATAATCATATAAAGAATACTGAAAGATTGTCTACCAAAAGTTAACTGGTTGTTTACAGTGGACATTAATTTTATAACATGAAAAAATGTCTTTTTTTAAGTTAAAAAAAATTTTAAAAATTCATTGAAAAATTGAAAAACACCAAAAAGTAGAGAGAAGAAATATATCACAAATTCTGCTGTTTCAATTGTCTGTTGCTATATAACAAACCACACCAGAACTTAATGGCTTAACACAGTGACTATTTATTATTTCTTATAATCCTTGGATCAGGAATTCAGGCCCATCTCCACTGAGCAGTTCTTGGTTGGTGTCAGATGAAGCCACTCACTCATTTGCAGTCAGGTGGTAGCTGGGCTGTACTGCACAGTCCAAGAAGGCCTCTCTTGAGTTTGTGATGCCTCATTGCTCCTCCATGTGGCCTCCCCCCCTCTTTCTGGAGTGCCTCATCATTCATTTGTTGGTTTGAGCTGCACTGGCCCACAACCCAGATGTGAGCTGCCAGGCATGATAGAGCTGCCCAGAATTGGCGTGGCTTCTCTTGGTCAAGGCAAGTTGCCTGGCCAGACCAAAGTCAAGAGGTGGGGAAAAGGATTCTACCTGTGGATGGATGGAGCCATATGCACATACAGAGAGGGAAGGAATTGATGGCAGCCATCTTTGGGGCCTGTTGCTTCCATCTAAGAAACCACTGTTAATATTTTTGCAGTTTTTTTTTTTTCACAGATGCAAAGATTTCGTTGTTTTGAAAGATTTGTTATAGTTATTGCTGTATAATTATTTTCTAAATTAATATATTTTCTTGTTAATCATATCCTTAGGAATCATAGTTTAATGACAATACAGTATTTATTGTACGTTAGGTAGTTTCATTAACTATGCCCATATTGTTGGGCATTGAAGTTTTTTCTAATTTTTCACCAGTATAAATAATGTCATGATGAGAAACTCGCTCCTTAAAACTTACTCTTTGTTTCCTTTTGGGGATTGGAGGGTATGAACTTTTTAAAGTTTATCAGTATGTAACTGTCAGATTATTTTCCAAAAGTGTTATGCTAATTTAAAGTCACACTGTATCTGCACACTTAATTCTGTATTTCAGTTTCACAAAGTTAAATCATTTCCCTCTGGCATGTTTTCCTCTCACACATTTTACTACACAAAGCTATTCAATGTTTGTAAAGTAGTAAAATGAGATAAATATTCTGAGTACTCTTTCTACTCTTATTTTTATCATAAATATTCAAAAGTATTGCTCAATTCCTTTACTAATGCTAATAAATCTCTACCTAGTTGCTGACCTTTCCTTCTCTAGTTGTAGACAGCTGGACAAGTGGAAAGATGGGTAGATCCAAGGCACAACCAACACGTTCTCTTTCTCCCTGAGTCAGGCAGCCCATGACGGGGAAAGGAGAGTCATGAGCTGAAACATAAGCTTTTTATTGAGCCAAAAATGGGGAGCATCTTAATACCCTCGTTATGATGACCAAATGCTGTTTGGTTTATTGAGGGATTTTAGATCCTCTTGAATATTTCTTGTCCAGAAGGCAATTCATTATCTCAGTGACTTTCTAGCACTTTTATTAATGTGAATGTCATTTAGCATGTTAATGTCAAATTAGAAAACTTGTTTTTGCTTTCTTTTGCTTTTAATCTGGCACAAGTTTCTCATGAGAATATTTACTGAAATATGTTGATGTTTGAAGATGTTTTCCTTAGCATGCCTTACATTTTATAAGGGCTAACATACGTTGAAGACTTACGTGCCAGGCACATCATCTCATTTAATCGTCGCAAAAAAAAACTGAGTTGGATTCTCTTCTTCCCTCCATTTTACAGATGAGGAGACGGAAGTGCAGAATAGTTAATTAATTTGCTCATCATCACACACGTAGAAGAGCTAGGATTTGAATGATCAGTTTGGATTCAGAGCCTAAAAACCCTTAACCACTATCCTATTTTGCCTTCCAACAACTCAATTTATAAGTATTGTAATGAAGCAATGAATATTATTTGTAACCTTTTTTTTTTTTTTTTAAGATGGAGCCTTGCTCTGTCGCCCAGGCTGGAGTGCAGGGGCACGATGTCGGCTCACTGTAAGCTCTGCCTCCTGGGTTCAGGCCATTCTCCTGCCTTAGCCTCCTGAGTAGCTCAGACTACAGGCACCTGCCACCACACTCAGCTAATTTTTTTTTTTTTTTTTGTATTTTCAGTAGAGACGGGGGTGTCACCGTGTTAGCCAGGATGGTCTCGATCTCCTGACCTTGTGATCCGCCTGCTTCGGCCTCCCAAAGTGCTGGGATTACAGGCGTAAGCCACCGCGCCCAGCCTATTAGTAACTTCTATAAGTGGATAATGAAATGTATCAAAGTACACCTCATCATTCTATTATGGTATCATTGTAGTATATGCATTTAGAATAGACTAGTGTAATTACTCTAACTCCTCGATGATTTTTAGCAGAAGGTAAAAAGTATCCTGTTTTGTCGTCAGTGCTTCTCCCCAAGGTATTTTAGGTTCACTCATTGTATGAATCTAAATCTAAAATAAATATGAATATGAAGATTCATAATGAATAAATCTTTCTCAAATCCGATTTACGTGTAATCATGAGTTGTTGATATTTGTCACATATTGTCCTCTTGGTGTCTAAAGTAAAAAGAGTTAGTTATTGAAAGTAAATTTACAGTAGTGATATGCAGTTCTGACTGACAGACTGGCTGCCTGTAGAAATCTCAAGCCACATAGAACACATCATTGTCTTTGAGATTAGCCTTTTCCTAAAACGTAAACATTCGAAACTACATTTAATTTGTTTAGCCAGGTGATCGTAACTCCTGTGTACCTTTCCCAAATTTAGAAAAGCAGAGAGATTGCTGTAAATTGTAAATGTGACTGTTGGTTGCCTGCCATCCTATATGAGGGTGAAGCCAGCCTCCAGGAACACAGAGCATCACCCCCGCTTCTTTCCCTTGTTCTCCTCTGGGTGGGGCCCATTCTGATGCACTTACAGATGCTACTAGACTCCTGCTATTTCCTAAGATGTGCTCACACTCAGTCTCGGGGTTGTTTCTAAATTTAGAGAATGATTACAACATACGTTTTTCCTGTTTCTTTTATTTTATGTCAGTCTGCTATAAACTCTGTTTATTTAAATGGTTGGTATACTTCTGCACTCCAGGATTCCTGATTGTCTGAAATCTCCACTTCTCCTCCAGACTGTGAGAGAACTTTATTCTCTGTTGTGTCCCAGCACCTGGCATAGTACATGCCACAGTCTGTGTCTGTCCTTTTTCCTGTGTCCTACCTTTTGGCTCATTGAATCATTTTCATTACCAGGTACCATGCAGAGAACAAAAATATCACTTTGGGGGAGTATAAGTTTGGACCACTTTTTGTGAGGCTGTGTTATGAGCTGGATCTCGACGAATCTGCAGTGGAGTTCTTGAAAGACCAGGTTATTGTTTCCTAATTGTTTTCTCTGCCAATGTATGTGTTTTTGGTGATATTGGAAAAGGCATCTCTTCCATGCACATTATTCCTGGGTTAAACGATTTTCAGAGAAAGGCTGCTGGGCCTAATGAGCACTTCTCTGCATTTTTAAGTTTCTTTGCAGTCAGTTTGTGTGAAAGAGGGGTGGAGTGATATAGAACAAGTGTGGAGGAGGTATAGGTACAGATGATCCTACCTTGGATGTGTATCATTGTGGGTTGTACACCTGCTCTTTTAGGGGCTTTCAATAGAGAAGAGCTTAAGACAGTCTCCATTTAAAGACTGACATTCCTATCCTTTACCTGTGTTCCTTCTCGATTTTGTATTGGTATTTTTCTGGTTGAAGACTACATTTGGGAGGTGCTTTTCTATTTTTAAAATACTTTCCCTCACATATTCTGACTTTCTGTTCCTAAAAACAAAAGTAAATAATTATTTTTATAGCTACTCATTGAATATTTACTATGTCCTCAGCATTGTGTTTAAGTACTTTAAATATTTCATTTTATTTGTTTCTCACAATAGCCTTGATAAGGTAGATTTCCATTTTGTAGATAAAGAAACTGTGACCTAGAGACATTATAAATTCACTCATTTATAATAAAGTCATTTTGATTACCAGAGACCATGTAGAGGACAGAAATATCACTTTGGGGGAGTATAAGCTTAGACTGCTTTTCATGAGGCTGTGTTTCCCATAATCAGAAATATTTGCTAAATTTTGGGGCCACAGCTGACCACCAGGTACATTTTTGTATATTTAGTAACTTACATAACAAGCTGAGTTGTTTTTCTGCCTCTTACTCTTTTTTTATACAAAATTTTCTCTGTACATGGTGGGCATGTTAACTCTAGGCCTGCCCCTCTTTAGTGACACCTGTGTATTAGAAAGATGACCATAATATATTAGTTAGCAGAGAAAAGGTTGTTTTAGAACAGTACAAATAGTTCAATCCTGTTTTTTTTTCCATAAAAAAAGACATACTAACATTAACATTTTAACAAAATATAAATTCGTACATACTGGGAAGATATACACTCACTTTATCTTTAGGGGTAGAATTATTAAAAATTCTCACTTTTTACTTTATACATTTTTGTATTATTTTACTATTTTTAATAAACATATGTTAATGTTTCAGTTAAAGGAAAACAAAAGCTTCCCACTGTAATAAATCATAGCCACGAGTATGGTGATAAAAACAAAAAAAAAGATGAAAGCAAAGTGTTTTTTTTAGCCTGCTTGTATATGAAAAATTCACGTATAAGTAACTTTTCTGGAGTAGGATGAACAAATTCAAGTAAGTGACATAGGACCTAATCCTGCTTCTACCCGAACTTCTCTTATCCCCTACTTAAAACCCTGTAGTGTTGCCAACATGGTAGCCACATGGAGTCGTTGAACTGTGGCTAACTCAAATTTACATTTTAATTACTTGTTATAAAAAGAATGCAATGTATGTTAATAATTTGTATATTGATTACATGTTGAAATTACATTATAGTAGGTTAAATGATTTAGTCTATTTCTGTTTACTTTTTTAAGTGAGGCTAATTGAAAATTTAGAGTCACATACGTTGTGATTCTGAAATATCCTTGGTGACTCAAAATACTTTTCCATTGGCTGGGGCTGCTCTGGTGGCTTTCCTTCACACTTCGAAGAAAACCCAGACCCCTGACTCTGACCTAGGGGGCCCATTGTGCCATCTCCCCATTCTCCCTTGCTGACTTCACTCTGGACCTATGTATTCTTCCTCAGCCATGGCGAGCTCACAGCCTCTAACTGGAACATTCTGCATCCTCATCCGTGAGGCTCCCTCCTTGACCTCACTGAGGTCTCTTCTCACAGTGCCTTCCCTGACTACCTTCCATCTGTCTTCTCTACTTGCTCTTCATAGACCTCACTAATAGCTGAAATTAATTTTTTTTTCACTTGTCTTATTCATTGTCTTCTCTACCAGAATTTAAGCTCTGCTGGATTACAAACCCTAGTTGGGTTTGGAGCAGGGTGTATGTATGTCCTGTTTATCATTTCTTTATTCTCAGCACCTAGAACAGGGTCTGCGTAGTAGGTGCTCAGAAAAGAGTGGACTTGAGCAAGGCGTTTAATGACACATTTGAATACCATGTGTCCCATTATCAGGGCACACAAAATGTTGAGATGTTAGCAAGATGTTGGTCAAAGGATACAAAATTTCAGTTAGATGGAATAAGTACAAGGGATTTCTCTGTACAACATACTGACTATAGGTAATGACAATGTATTGTATTCTTCAAAATTGCCTAAGAACAGGTTTTATGTACTCTCACCACACAAAATGAGTACATGAAGTAATGCATCTGTTAATTAGCTTAGCTTAACCATTCTGTAATATATACATATTTCAAAACAACGTACTGTTTTTTGGGTTTTTGTTTGGATACAGGGTCTTGCTCTGTCACCTAAGCAGGAATGCAGTGGCACTATTATCATAGCTCATTGCAGTCTTGTAACTCTTGGGTTCAAGTGATCCTCCCACCTCGGCCTCCCAAGTAGCTAGGACTCCAGCCTTGTGCCACCACACCCAGTTAATTTTTTAAATTTTTATTACTTTTTTAAGAGATGGGATCTTGCTGTATTGCCCAGACTGGCCCCGAACTCTTGGCCTCAAGCGATCCCGCCTCTCTCTCCCAAAGTACTGGGATTACAGGCGTGAGCCACCAAATGTATTTTTATTTGTCAATTAAATACATACATACAAGTTGGAAAAAAATGTTGAGAACCACTGTTTTGGAGAATTATTTCAAAAGGCGAGTAATCAATTCTGTATTATCCGTTGCCAAAAAAAGACCATAGTTGTGAGACCCTCCTGCCTTAGTCCTCAAGTATATTTATAGCTACCATTTCATGTTAATAGCTGGCACCTAGTTTCTAGGACCACTCTGCCAGGGTTAATTAGCTAGTTTCTTTTCTCCTAAGCATGACAGATGACGTTTCCTTAAAGACGTCCTTCATGGTAGTTATGAAACCCAGAGATCTCTTGCTGTACCTCTCAGCATGACAGCCAAGAGAGTGGAAAGCATTTTAACTTTTTTCTTTTTTTTTTGTTTGAGACAGAGTCTCGCTCTGTCACCCAGGCTGGAGTGCAGTTGCACGATCTCAGCTTACTGCAACCTCCACCTCCTGGGTTCAAGCAATTCTCTGTCTCAGCCTCCTGAGTAGCTGGGATTGCAGGCGCCTGCCACTATGCCTGGCTAATTTTTGTATTTTTAGTAGAGACTGGGTTTCACCCTGTTGGCCAGGCTGATCTTGAACTCCTGACTTCGTGATCCACCTGCCTTGGGCTCCCAAAGTGCTGGGATTAGGCGTGAGCCACCGTGCCCGGCCAACTTTTTTCAAAAATAAAACCTGAGTATATAAAATATATTAGAGAATTCAGATGGCCAAATGAGCAAAGTATGCAGAAAAATGAGACCTGGATAGATAAGAGACAGTAAAAGTACCTCCTCAATAAATAGTTTTAACTTTTAACCAAACTGTATTGTTCTTCTTCATTAGCATTTACGAGGTTTCTTCTCAGACTCCACATCATTCAATATTTTGATGGACATGTTATTTATCAAAGGCAAATATGAAAGTAAGTACTGCAATTTCTATTTGCTGAAAAATTCTGCTATTTGCTGGCCTGGGAATTAGGGGAGAAAATGAGTCATGCAAAAATGATTCTTATATCCCTGATAAGTGGCTGAATTCTGGAGACCTTATGAAGTTTGAAAACATCGTATTGCATATCATCCCTTAAACTAAATGTCCCAGATTTTACTTATGCTAAAATTGTGAAGCAGCTTTTAAAACATTAGTTCTTCCTGTTTGACCTCATAGTTTATTTCAACATTTAGCTAATTGCTAAATGACTTGAGAAATAGCTTTTATTTTGTTGAAATACACTTTTCTGTAGATAGTGCTGAACAGATGAGAGCTTTGGGGGCCAACAGTAGAGGAAATCTGATTAACACTGCGATCCACTCTCACTTTTGGCAGGTGCTTTGGAAGTATTGATAGAGATGAAAAACCAAGATGTGAAGTTCAGCAAAGATACCTATGTTCTTGCTTTTGCAATTTGCTACAAACTGGTAAGACTCCTTCCCCTAAACTTTGAGAGCATTGTGGGAAGTCTTTGAGAGAGGATTTTTTTTCTCTCTATAAATAAAATTCAGTTCCTCTGAAGTCTGTTTTCCATCTGGTGCAAATGTTTTAATTTTAAATGTATTTATTTTTAGAAAACTCAAGTTAGCCCTATCAGACAGTTTTATGGGAAAAGTAATTTTTTCATCTTTCACTCTTCTCTGGTGATTGTGTGGATAGTGAGAACAAGAGGCAATGTGTTGGGTTCGGGCTCTGCTTTAAAGTCATCTCGCATGCTGGACTCTGCTAGATCCATCTTCCCTGTTGTCCTTGTCTATGGAAATCTTAGCTTCCTTCATTGAGCTTTCAAGGACTACTTTGTCTTCATATCTGAAGGTTTTTATAGTCACTGAAACTGGAAGTGATGTTTGTCACCTCCAGATATCCCTTAATTGTGCTCTATTTGTATCACCTCCCTGGTACTTCTGACACAGCCTAATGTTGTACTTAGTAGATGCACGTTCCATTCTCTCCACTTGAATGTGAGCTCCTTGAGGCATCTTTGTATCCTACCACCTAACACAGTGCCTGCTATCCAGTAGTTCTTTAATAAACATATGTGACATGAAAGTGAACGCTGAGGACAGAGACCATGACTTATAAGTTCTTTTATCAATACAAAAAATTAGCTGGGCGTGGTGGCATGCACCTTGTAATCCCAGCTACTCAGGAGGCTGAGGCAGGAGAATTGCTTGAACCCAGGAGGCAGAGGTTGCAGTGAGCCAAGGTCGTGCCACTGTACTCCAGCCTGGGCAACAGAGTGAGACTCTGTCTCAAAAAAAAAAAAAAAAAGTTATTTTATTATTACTGTACCAGGATTATTTCTTGCCTACAGAAACTGTTTCTTCAATGTTTAGTGAATGATTATTGAAATAGTGAAATGATCAATGTTTAATGTATTACTGTTGTCATTCATACCATTTAAACTTTGGAAACCTGGCACACAAAACCTCTTTGTACTGAAAACAAAGGAACACTAAGCGAAGTGGAAGAACATGGGCTGTTGAAAAACCCTCCTGAAGAGTGTAGCAATGCCAGTTTTCCAAAACAAGGGGATAGCTGGGTTATAGTGGAAGGAAAACCAACTGGAAATTGAGAAACTTGGAGTCTAGTCTCCACTTTGGTATTATATAGCTTATATATGTGGCTTATATAGCTATGAACTGATCACCTATCTCATTTTACAAATGAGATAGATTTGGGAGTCAGCAAACTTTTCTTATAAAAGGCTAGATAGTAAATATTTTAGGTTTGGGGGGCCATGTATGTCTTTGCCTCATATGAACTCTGCCCCATATTATTTGTTTTTGTTCTTACAGGCCTTTAAAAATGTTAAAGTCGTTCTTAGCTGTAGGCTACATTTAACCCAAGGGTCATAGTTTGCTGACCTCTGGATTCAATAATTCTTTCATTCATACCATTCTACAATTCTAGGAGGCAAAAAAAAAAAAAAAACAAAACCACACAGCACTAGAGCATCACTTATTCAGCATTGTAATTCTCAGCCTTCTCATCTTCCACTTAGGGATGCCTCCCTGAGTGTATGCTGCAATGATGAGAATTTCAGTTCTGCTTAGAGGCCATGCGCAGTGGCTCACGCCTGTAACCCCAGCACTTTGGGAGGCCAAGGCAGGCAGATCACCTGAGGTCAGGAATTCGAGACCAGCCTGGCCAACATGGTGAAACTTTGTCTGTACTAAAAATACAAAAATTAGCCAGTGGTGGCACATACCTGTAATCCTAGCTACTTTGGAGGCTGAGGCAGGAGAATCATTTGAACTGGGGAGGCAGAGGTTGTAGTGAGCCGAAATCGTGCTCTTGTACTCCAGCCTGGGCAACAGAATGAGACTCTGTCTCAAAAAATAAAATAAATAAATTAGGAAAGGCCAGAGGATTTTCTCCCCTGTGTTGTGTCCAAGAATAACTTGTTTCACCCAGTGGAGATGAGTTGAAAAAGTGATCTGGTCAGCCAGTAAAAATTCCACATCAGTTCTGGGAACTGTCCTCTCTCATCCCATTTGAACTCTATTTTGACAGGAGTTGCAACTCCTGTCATGACAGATGACATAGTTGCACAGCCAGGCTGCTCTCATAAACCTAATCCCCCACAGCATGCACAAAGGAAGAGGATTTGGTTCTACCACTGCTGTTTTTATATCACTGACATTCTTGGATTTTTCTTTTTGAGGTTTCTGTTTTCAGAGGATTCTTTTATAATTTATGTTCAAATTAGTGTTCATGTTTTCAAATATTTGACATATGAATATTTTCAGATTGGAAATTCCCCAGAAAAAGTTTCCTGGTGTTGTTGAGCCTTAATCAGCTATTTAATATAGTAGCAGGCAGAACCTTTATACTTGTAAACTATGGGGTCTGTGTCTAGAAACTAGCCTGCCCAGATACAAAGAGATGTGTTTATTTTCTGGTAAAAACTGCCCCGATTCAGAAAATTGAAAATGAGCTTTAAAAATAAAGTTAATTTAGATTTGACCTGCTAACATATCAGTAGCCTGGTGTATTTGCAAATAGTGTTTATATGGGGCTTAATCTTTTAAGTGGCTTAAGGTAGGCTCTAGGAAATCCTTACAAAAGGAACTCTAAATATTGAGCACTATTAATCATTTTATTGAATTTAAAGGTTTATAACATTAATCGAACAATCCTGTCTCCTCACAGAATAGCCCTGAGTCTTTCAAAATCTGTACTACATTAAGAGAAGAAGCTCTACTCAAAGGAGAAATTCTCTCCAGGAGAGCATCCTGTTTCGCTGTGGCATTAGCTCTGAATCAGGTAAAGCTTTGTGGTGTACATAAGTAAACTGGGAGTGGCCAGGACTTCATTACTTTTATTTGTCCTTGCTTTTACTTTTTTCCTTCTGACTGCATCATAAAGAAGTAGTCCCCATAAAGAGACCAATGCCTTTGTTGCCATGGCAACCTATATCTATACCTGTACCGGCAAAGAATGTTTATATTTACAGTTGGGGACCTAACATGCATTTCTAAATAGAAGGGTAGAGAAATTTCTCAAGTAATTAAAATGAAAATTGCAAGTCATCGGATGACGTGGTAACGTTCTCAGAGAACAGTTTAATTTAATGCTCTCCAAAGTTGAATTAGCCTCAGATGAATGAAGACTGCTGTGTCAACCCATTGTAGAAGTGGGATCCATCACATTCTTCATAGTTATACCCAACTACTGCTGTTATTTGGGTGACTTTAGTGATCATTTAGCCTCATTCCCCTGACTGGACAGGTGGAGGTAGCAGAGACCCAGAGATAAGAGGGGACCTCCCTGAGGTCATGCCTCAGTGATGCCAGAGTTAGAGCTGGAACCCTGGAACACACATCCCTCTGGAAGAGCCTCTCCTGAGATTTCCTATTCCAGAGCCTAAAAAATATGAAATGCTTTATATGTTTCCTATGTGGTAAAAGGAAATTTTATAGCAGAAAAATAGTAACCAAACCAGGTTGTTTTCCTGGCTGGTAAAATATAGCTGGAGAACTCTTTATTATTAGAAATCAAAACATGAGGGTGATCCATTTCCATATACTGCTGGGAAGAGTCACTGAAGGACGAGACTTAAGAGATTATACACTTTCTAGGCCTCTGCTGGGCCAAGATCATTTTTTTAACTTTCTAAGCTTCTCTCGCTGTCCAGGGGAATTATTTTGTCTTCTTAATCTGTCATGAGGTAAGTGAGTGAATTAAAGTCTCTTTGAAGACATGTGTTTTTCTTTCTTTGTATAGCTCCTGTAGTTTTTCTTTATTTAAGTCTAAGTTATACTGTTTGGTGCACAGATACATCATCACTGTTACATCATCACTGTGAATCCCTCACTGTTTATAAAGTGCCTATCTAGGAATGTTTACTGCTTTTGCCCTGAATTCAACCTTATCTAATATTAATAACTCTATCCCTCTTTTTGCTTATTTCTCTCTTTGTTTTGATGAGGTTTGCATTTGCTCAATATACAGCTTTTCCTATCCTTTATTTTTGCAATCTTTCTGAATTGTTTTGTTTGAACTTTATCTCTTATATACTGCATAAATTTCTATGTTGCTTTATAATATGATGCTAATCTTTTAATATCCATTTATATTAATATGACATATTTGATCTTAGGTCTCATTTGATGCTTTTTGTTTCTGTAAGTTTTTCTACTATCTTATGCCATGTGGTTATTTTCTCTAGTTGGTATTTTTGCTCTAGTGGTGACTTTAAAACCATAGTTTTGATTTTCTTAATTCTTTAATTCTTTGGACAAGACCTGTTAATTCCCTAATATAAGTAATGGTGAAAATAGTGTATTTCCTCTGTTTTTCATCTTATTTTCTTCCTCCCCCTCCAACATCCAATTTTAGCTCATATTTTACTTTGATAGTGTTCACTTTACTCTTAAATGTACTTGATTTGTTAGTTTTAAGTGATATTTTTTGGCCTGCTGATAATAAAGATAAGGAAATGGAAATGCCTTCTTCACCTTTCATCTCTTTTCCTTCTCTTTCTAACTTTCATTAGTGTTAACGTTGCTTCATTGTCCAGGCATATAACATTTACGCTCTGTTCTGTAGCCATACTCCCCACTTTTGAGTCCTTTGTATAGCTAAACAGGTTGTTAGGTGCTAATTGTTTTTCCAGTTTTCTCTTTGTTGGCTGAAGTGAGTATTTTAGTAAATTCTTTGGAGGAACAATATCCCTTGAGTTCTTGGTATTTTAAATTATTTTTTTTGCCTGTTGTTTTTGTACTTGAACTACAGTTTGGCCAGATTTACAATTTCAGGGTGACATTTGCTTTTCTTGAGGTACTTTTAGACATTGCTTTTCTGTCTTCTGGTATAGAATATTGCTGTGGAGAAATCTAAGGCCTGCCTGATTTTTTTCCACTTCTGATTGATGTGATCTTGTTCATTTTTCTCATTTCTATCTTCTATATCCATGGAAATATTTTTCAATTAAGGTTTCTTCATTGGTGGCCAGTTATATTCTTTGCTTTTCTTTTTTTTTTTTTTTTTTGTTAGACAGAGTCTCACTCTGTCGCCCAGGCTGGAGTGCAGTGTTGCAGTTTTGGCTCACTGCAACCTCTGCTCTGCCTCCTGGGTTTAAGTGATTCTCCTGCCTCAGCTTCCTGAGTAGCTGGGATTACGGGCATGCGCCCGTCAAATTTTTGTGTTTTAGTAGGTGTGTTCCCAGCTAAATCTTTGTATTTTGGTAGAGATAGGGTTTCACCATGTTGGCCAGGCTGGTCTTGAACTCCTGACCTCAAGTGATCTGCCTGCCACAGCCTCCCAAAGTGCTGGGATTACAGGCGTGAGCCACTGTACCAGTTGTTTTCTTAATTTTGTTCTACTGTGTTCCTTTCCTCCTTTTGAAAATACCTTCTTTATGAGTGTCATGTGGTGGTTCTTTTTTGACTATTCATCGTTGAAAAGTGTAAGTTTCAGGCCTAGCACAATGGCTCCTGCCTGTAATCCCAGCACTTTGGGAGAGGGGAGGATCAGCCAGGACGACAGGACCAGCCAAGATGACATAGGGAGACCCTGTCTCTACAAAAAATAGGTAAATAAATAAAACAGGTGCAATAGTACATGGTACATGCCTGTAGTCCTTGCTGCTCAGGAGACTGAGGCAGGAAAATAGCTTGTGCCCACGAGTTTGAGGCTTCATGATTCTACCACTACCCTCCAGCCTGGGCAACAGAGCAAGACTCCGTCTCAATAAACAAATAAATAAATAAATTCAAAAATAAAAGAAAAACTTGTTTCTTTTAGATCAGTCATTTGTAGATTCATGTCAGAGAGAGAGAGAACAACAGAGCGGGACACCAGAGCACTGTTCTAGACTAGCAGGATTTTTCTTCATATAAGCCAGAGTTTTGTCTACAAGTATACACAGGCTTCATTTTTTTAAGTCAACAGAAATAGGCACTGAGGTGGGTTTTGGTATGCAGTCTCTTCTCTGCTGCTGCTGTCTTAGGAACCTCCTGCTTCCTATGAATATGGCTTGTCTACGGAAACGCTTGACTAGCCTCTTCTCTGCCACCACAAGGATCCACGGAAGGTCTCTTTACTAGTCCTACACTCTGTTCTCATCATTGTAAATAGAAATTTAGGTTTTGTACTTCAGGTTGTGCCCTTACCTTTGAGAGTTGTACTGTTGTAGGTTCTTTGTGAGATACAGAGCACTGTCCACCTCTGACTGCTTTCTCCTGAACCCTGCCAGCCTCCATTTCCAATGTTTCTGGCAGTGTTTCCAGCTCTGCTGTGGTTTGAGGTTTCTATGTTCTAATTATGTATGTCAAAGACAGGCTTTGCACTTTGTTCCTTGTTCGTTTTTTAGAAGCTGATTCCAATAGGAGAAGGGGAAATGCCAACTTTATGCCTGCATCTTAAGAACTGGACTCAGGCAGGCTGTTAAAACATTCAACAATATGCGACTGGATGGAGCGTTTTATGGAGTGTTCAGTTTTGATTTCCGAAACATTTTTTCTTTGTGGACTTCAAAACCCTGAGGTCACCTTAATAGGAATATACTGCCTTCTCTAAGTGAACTTTTACAATAACATTAGTTCCTATGATATGGAATATGATTTGTTTCTCTTCCTTCTAGAATGAGTTGGCAAAAGCTGTGTCCATTTTTTCTCAAATTGTGAATCCAGAAAGCATAGCCTGCGCTAATTTAAATGTAAGTGACTTCTTTGTGGTTTAAGGTAAGCCTTGAAATGTATTATAATAAATGTATTATAATAAAATTATGCTTAAATTTTTTGGCTGTATACAATGACTTGATCTGCCAAGGTTTTCATTCAAATCCACAGTCATTTATTGAGTTCCTCTATGTGAAAAATTACAGTATCACCCTTGTGAGAAGAATCAACACAGCTGTTGCTTCCAGGAGTTTTTAAACAGGTAGCAGAGAGGTAGATATGCTCATATATAAGACATGGCTAGATGCTGAAGACATGAGGCGTGGCTAAGAAAGCTGTAGATGTAGGGACGAGGAGGGGATGGAGACAGATCCTCCAGGGTCTTTACCAAGCCTTGAGAGAAACCTATGTGCTAACTGCATATTATTGGTGGTATCTAACTCATGGCATTGTTGCAGTTAATCAGCTTATATACTTATGGTACACAAAATAGTGCCTGACATGTGGTAAACATTCAGTAAATGTTATCTATTGTCATTCTTATTATGTTGCCAGTATGCCATGGTCCTCTTCCCCATTAACTTACCTGGGCCACCCAGGACACTTATTTGGGACCTTGTGGTCTGGGTCAGCAAGTGGCTGCACGCGTATCACCAAGACATGCAAAACCTTAATCCCTAAAACTAAAAGCAAAGGAAAAAAAATTATCTCAGATTCGCCAGATTCATGCTAATAATAAAGTTTGAGGCTTATTACCACTTCCAGAGTTTGAGCAGTGAGTCATGAAACCTTCCTGGACCAATTATAAAAGACTATCTTGTCATTAAGGACACCATAGTCCCCATTCAGCCTGCCCATATTGAGACTCCTTGTATACTGCGTCTGCTTGTGTGTAGGGAGTTGCAAAAGAAAAAAACTTTCAGGCGCTTATAGTCTTCTGAAACAGTCAAAGGATTGAGATGAAGAAAACATTTTCAGAAGAATGGAAATGTGTAAGCATTAGCATGACACAACTAGGATAACAGGTCACAATCAATGGAGTATTCCAAGATGAGTAGATGAAGGGGGTCGGGGTGGCCAGCAGGAGCAATGTGAGGGACCCTTAGGGCAGGTACCTGCTGAGCAGTGCTCTGGAGGAAGACAGGACTGTGGGGTTGGAGGGAATGACGTGGAGGGTGTTATTTGTTGGGAGATTGGCTTTGGTGGAGCTTCTATTTAAAAGAATATGAACTGTGGCTGGGCGCGGTGGCTCACACCTGTAATCCCAGCACTTTAGGAGGCCGAGGCAGGTGGGTCACGAGATCAGGAGATCGAGATCATCCTGGCCAACATGGTGAAACCCCATCTCTACTAAAATATAAAAAATTAGCCGGACGTGGTGGCGTTTGCTTGTAGTCCCAGCTACTCAGAAGGCTGAGGCAGGGGAATTGCTTGAACCTGGAAGGTAGAGGTTGCAGTGAGTCAAAAACGCGCCTTTGTACTCCAGCCTGGCAACAGAGCAAGACTCTGTCTTGAAAAAAAAAAAAAAATGAACTATGAATTGTAACCACCTCTTACTAGCTCTGAGTCCTTAGGTTAATTTGCCCCTGGAAACCCCCCAATTTCCTTTGATCTGAAACAGTAATAGTAGCTATCTTTTTGTTGTGGGGATTAAAATAAATAATGCATATAAAATAGTTAGCATAGTGCCTGGCAGGTAGTCAGTGTTCAATGAGTATTTGCTAATACTAATAGTATTTGTTTGACATGAGTTAAATTAAAAGGAATATTCATTTGTACCAAATCCTAGAACCTAGTGAACAGGAATTATGCATAACTCCAAACTTCTGAAAGAGTCATACTTAAAGATAATAATGCTTTTCAGTTCTGCCCGTAGTAGTTATCTTCAAATGTCATCCCACACCAGTGCCCAGGTGATTTTTCAGAGAATGACTAGATGAGCATTTATGGTAAATTTTGGAGAACAAGGTCAGGCAAGAAGTATGCCATAAGAATACCTCATATTGGACCTCAACTTTACTTTGCAAAATGCTTTTACATGAGAGAAAGGTGAGCCCAACGAACCAGAAAAATGGAGACAGTGATAACAGAGAACTTGAAAAAATGAAATGAATTTGGAATGGAAGAAACAAAATACTAGAAAAATATCGACAAAGAGACTTTTTAGTTTCAAAGGGCGTAAACCTGGAGGGCATGAACTCAACTAAATATACCTGATAATGGATTTGATATGAACTGATGAATGCCATAAGAAAGCAGGGAAGTATGAGGGCTCAGAAATGAGTTTATAAGGCATTAATGGTGAGGCAGGGGAAGCACCAGAAAAGAGAGGGAAGGACTCGCAGCTTTGTAGAAATTCAAGAGGCTGAGAGCCCTCCCTGTCTTAGCCTGCTGCAGGTAGCTGCTGTTCATCTTGGGGGCTGAAATAGAAACTACAGGTCAGAGCAGGTGGGTCAGCCTGAAAAGCTCATAGGCTAAAGCAGGTCTGGGAGGCCAAGGTTGGCAAAGGTCCAGAGTCCAGAAGGTTGGGTCATTTGAGCAAGTGATATCAGTAAGCTAAACAGACTGGGAAGCCTGGTCTTCCAGCAGGCACACTATGTCTTTGACTTCTCTGCTTCCTGCTGGATATGGACAGCTCTGGTATTCCAGTATATAACTGCTTCTGAGAGTGTGTCCTTTAGATGACCCATCTATCATGATGGGACAGAATATAACTGCTGGGATTAGCAAGATACTCTTTCACTAAAGCTAAAGCTATCCAAGTCTCTTATAACATCAGATAGGAAAGAAAGGAGAACAGGGGGAAAAGTGTTTTACTTGGATCATTGGTCACTTTTCCTAGAGTTCAAGCAAAGTTGAGGGTTTCGGTACACATTGGTGATAAGCAATCAAACTGTGAGGTAAGCAGGGTTTTAATTTAATTTATCTAAGGTATCATGCTTGGTACTTTAGATTTGTTATACAACTTTATCAAAACAAGTTTTCTCCACATTATAGATGTGGAAAATGAAGATTCAAGGGTAAGTAAATTACCTTAGTTCTCCCAACTAATTAAATAGCAGAGTCAGAGTTTTAACACCAACAACTCTGACTGGGAAGCCTAGGATTTCCCTACCACTCCAGACCTACAGAGATGAAAAAGGTGTGTCTCTTTTATCCAGGACTAGGATTAGTGTCTCCTCTTGAGTAACAAAAAGAACACAAGACTGGATGTCAGAAAACACAATCCCACTAGTGCATGTGATCCACCTCTGGATTTAGATTTCTCATCTCCTTCCATCCTGGCCTATCTCTCACAGTTGTAAGAATCTAGTAATGGGCTGGGTGCGGTGGTTCATGCCTGTAACCTCAGCACTTTGGAAGGCTGAGGTGGGTGGATTATTTGAAGTCAGGAGTTCAAGACCAGCCTGGCCAACATTGTGAAACCCCATCTCTACTAAAAATACAAAAATTAGCTGAGTGTGGTGCATGCCTGTAATCCTGGCCTACTTGGGAGGCTAAGGCAGGAGGATTGCTTGAACCTGGGAGGTCAAGGCTGCTGTGAGTGGAGATCACGCCATTGCACTCCAGCCTGGGCAACAGAACGAGACCCTGTCTCCAACAACAACCGAAAGAATCTAGTAATGATTTGATTTCTTTTTTTTTTTTCCGCCAAATGAGAAGGTGCTTTGGTGGAGTTAAACGTGAGCTTGCTGAGCATGAGATGGTCCATTCCCAATAGGAGGAGCAATGCAGGGCATGATGAAAAAAGCATGTGCTTGCCACCAGGCAGCAGGAACAGCTCCTTTCCTCTGAGGGCTGGAAAAGAAAGTCAGCCTATGGATGCAGTGGGATGGGCGTGTTTCAGGCAAGGACTCCGCAAGGAACCTTGAAGTGATACTGAGTATGAATCATCCTTTCTGAACTGCGTCACAGAACTACCCACTGTCGGGAAACTTAAAGATAGTTTCAGTGTTTAAAAATTCTCAGGAAATTCTTTCAAATGTTCAACCCAAATTTCTCATGTTGCAATATAAGCCTATGTCATCTTCCTCGGGGATGATGAAAAAGATATGGTTGCCATTCTCAAGTTTAGTAATCTTTTAGATTCTAGGTGTCTGTTAGTAGACCACAGTTTAAAAAATGACTGCATGGACCTTACCTTCTCCAAGGCTGACTCATCTGCTCGAAATCCTTAAAGGCAACTTGTTAATTATTGAGCGATGGAAACTGACAGATAGGTTGAGTAGAGTCTGTTTAGTCAGTATTCACAGAAATAAATGAAACTTTTTTTCTGATGTACTTTAAAAATTAATGCCTTATGCTAAAATCTTTTGCTGCTGTCAATTGAAATTTGAACTTACAAATTTTCTCCCTAACTTAATTGTTTTATTAAATTGTTCCTGTTACCAGTGTGACCCAAAGGGCCCAGTTTCCTATTTTCCCAGCTAATTCTTAATGCACACTGCGTTGTTTTAACAGATCTCATCAAAACACATGTATGTTGACACTGCCTTTTCAGTCTGAATTTATCTCAAACATAGACCCTCTTTAGCAATGCTGCTTCATGTCAAAGAATTAATTTCCACTTCCGAATATGTCTGAAAGTAGCAGAGACCCATACAGGGTAACTTTCCACTGATTGTATTTGAATTCTAATCGTTTGTCTATAAACCTGGCTTGTCTACAATTGGAGATCCACTTTGGAATTGAATTTACCTTGCAAGGGAATTGACAAGTGGTTTTGCTGCTTTTATCATTTATTTGTTAATACGGGTGAATGTCTTAATGCCCCTTTCTCCTACCCACTTAGGTCACCCTACAGTTCTAGCTTATGCTGGGAAGTCTAGGGTGCACAGGGAGGAAAGGAGACAGGACTCATTTCTCACAAATTCCTTTGTGGCAGCATCTTACTCATATGTGTGAGTTAAGAATTGCATTTGTTTGGGAGCATTGTAGTCTCCAAAAATAAAAATAAAAGCCTATACAAATTAGAGCCTTTATTTTTCTTCCATGTGGAAAACGACTCTGGTCCGTCCATGCCTGGTGTGGCATTCCATGATGTCATCAGGAACCCAGCCTCTTTCTATGTTTCTATTCTACCATCTTTAACACGTGACTTCCATTCATTGCATCCCCGGTCCAGCAAGAAGTAGGAAAAAATGGGAGTGAACAAAGAAGTTCATCCCTTTTAAAGATGCTTTTTCAAATGTCTCATCCAGCAACTTGTACTGGTGGTGTTATTGGCCAGAACTTAATCCCATGACCACACCTAATTGCAAAGAATACTGAGAAATAGTCTTTGAGTTTCATACATACATGAAAGCATCTATTAAGGTTTGGGTGTTCTGTTATCAAAAAAGGAGGAGAGAATGGATATTGGTTAGAAAACTGGCAGCCTCTACCACATTATGATATTCTACTTCGAATATAGCAAACCTAAAACAAAAATAAAAGAAACAAGAAATGTAAATTTCTGCATCCTCAGGGCTTCTGTTCCCTTTTTGTTCAAAGGTATCTAGTAATGTATTTCCTGATGCCTCAGAAAATCAAAGAGGCAGGAAGCACATGTTCTTTAAATAGTTTTTCTTACCAAAATCTCCCCTGTTCCTTACTAACTGAGTTTCCCAGTCTTTTGTTTGAAATCTGTAAGATTAAGGCAATGTGCTGTACCCTACTTTCGTTTTCTTTAGCTGAACCCTGAGACTGGTTTGAGATAAGCCCCTAGCTTTAAACTTTCTCTTTGCCTTTTATCAGTAACTGCCTCATGTGCATTGCCCTTCATCAATGTATTTTAAGGTAGTGAGCCTTGTTTTTGAAGTCCCTACTGAATCAGAGATAGTTGCTGGAGGGAGGAAGAGAAGTTGGGAAAACTTAGGAAGAAATATTGAAATCTCCCAGGGAGCACATCGTTTCTAGCAGAGGGCTCTAGATGGTTTATTTTTGTAAATTGCTGGGGGAGCCAAGCTCCTCTTCTTGTTTATTGTTATTGAGGGTTGGCCGGGTGCCTTGTACTACATAGCATTGCATTGAACAAGGTAGACTTGCCTTTGCCTTGGACACCACCAAATTGGGATTGGCTTTTACTAACAAAGGTATTAAGAACTGTGAAGAGTCACAGATTTTTTCCCACTTGGAATCTAATGAGTTAGCCTGCCCCAGTTTCATGGATGCTAGTGGAGTATACAAGACAAAGAGAAATAAAGGACAATTTATTATGTAGCAGTGGCCAGAATATTAGCATCTTTGCTTCAGTTACCTGAGCCCCAGTTCTTGCAGGGAGACATGAAAAGCTCTATGTGCCTCTTGCACACATAGCAAGTTGCTTTCAAGAGAGGAACCCTGAGCTTAGAAAACCCAACTCTCTTATGATGGCCAATAAGCATGCCTGTCCTTTGCTTTGAATGTGACCCTGTGTCTGTTGTCCACAAACATCCTTGAAAAGGTAGTCTGGAATAAAAGCAGTCAGTGCTTTTGCTCTCAAGGCGTGCAGAAATTTGAGCGACCCATGGAGAGTTGTCTCCCAAAAAGGGTGTGCTCATGATTTTTCCTGAAGGGCTTTAGAACACTGAATTTAAATTATGTTCTTTGTATTTAGTCTACCTGGGATCATTTCATTCTGTTCTTCAGAACCAAAGACAACCCCTCATCCTGATAAGTTACTAAACAAATACAAAATGTTACCAAATAGACTGGTGAGGAAACAGCTGGTTTAATATAAGAAAGGTAAATCTCTTCCAGGAAAACTATCTTTTGTAAGGATCAAGAGCCTTAAAAATATCTCTATGCTTTGACTTAGTAATTTCACTTCTGGGAATCAAGTCTAAGACATTACCAGTTTTTCAAAGTACATATGTACACATTGGTCAGTGTAATAAAGTATGGTATATTTCCATGATGAATTGCTATGTATGTGTTAAAAAGTGAGGTTTCTTTTTTCTAATATTAATGCTATGAGGAAATAAATGTCTATTGTATAGTAATTGACCAAAAGTAGAATCACATTTTGGGTTTGGAAGATTTATACATCAAATTATAAACAGTGGTTGTAACATCAGTTGGTGAATTCTCAGTTATTTGCACTTTCTTTAAACTTTTTCTTGAATTATACTAGTGAATATTGGTAATTAGGGAGGAAATGTGTTTTTTCTTGTGTTAGTTGAACCTATCTGGTGGAAGATAGGTGATAGTGTCATTTTGAAAGCACACTACAGCACCCAGTTTTGAAAGTTCATTAATAGATAGTGTAAATAGGAGTGCCTCATTAACATTTCCGCCAGCTTCCACTCTATGCCTGCAGTAACCTGTGTGTCTACAACTTCCTAACAACAGAAAATGCTGAAGATACCATTTGCCCCTAGCCAGTTCTGGTTGTCCGTTTTCACACTGCTTTAAAGAAATGCCAGAGATTGGGTTATTTATAAAGGAAAGGGGTTTAATTGACTCACAGTATCACATGGCTGGGGAGGCCTCAGGAAATACGATCATGGGGGAAGGCGAAGGAGAAGCAAGTATCTTCTTCACAAGGCAGCAGGAAAGGGAGAGAGCAAGGGCAACTGCCACTTATAAAACCATCAGATCTCATGAGAACACACTCACTATCATGAGAACAGCATGGGGGAAACCATCCCCATGATCCAATCACCTCCCACCAGGTCCCTCCCCTGACACCTTGGGATTACCATTCAAGATGAAATTTGGGTGGGGACACAAAGCCAAACCATATCACTAGTCTTATGAGACTGTCTGATTGTCTCATCCTCTGAATCTAGAGGATGTAGAAAGGAGGAAACCAATATTTTTGTTTGCTGAGTATACTGGTATTTTATTTAATGTTCATAAAACCCAAAATGTGAGATCTAAATCTATTTTCCCCATTTTACAAATGAGGGCATTTAAATTGGAAGATTAAGTACCAGTCCAGAGTCACTTAGCTGGTACTTGCCAGTGTCTGGATTTCAGCCCAGGTATCCAGGCACCAAAATCTCTGCTCTCTCCAGTGTTACCCTTAAACAAGTTTTGAAGTTGTAGACTTTTTTTGTTTTTTTTTGTTTTTGTTTTTTGTTTTTTTTTTTTTGAGATGGAGTCTTGCTCTGTTGCCAGGCTTGATTACAGTGCCACAATCTCACTGCAACCTCTGCCTCCCAGGTTCAAATGATTCTCCTGCCTCAGCCTCCCAAGTAGCTGGGACTACAGGTGCGTGTCACCACGCCCGGCTAATTTTTGCATTTTTAGTAGAGATGGGGTTTCACCATGTTGGCCAGAATGGTCTCTGTCTCTTGACCTCGTGATCTGCCCGCCTTGGCTTCCCAAAGTGCTGGGATTACAGGCAAAGTTGTAGTATTTTGACTAACTATTGGAAAGCACACTTTGGCTCGTGAGCATACATTTAAAGCACTTTTTTGAACTTGTGCAAGCAAATAAGTTAGGAAGTAGGATCAAAGCAGGGTAGGTGCCTGTAAATGAAGGCTTATCTAACCAGGTGCATTTCTTAGCATTGAGACACTGACTAAGTCTTGGTTTTGTTTGTGTCTTCTTAATATTCAGGTTATAATCCATATCCAGTCAAATGCATTGGAAAACCTGATAGAGACTCTAACAAATGCTGCGGAAGGAAATTTATCAAAATTTGTGAAAAGACATATGTTCTCAGAGGAAGTGGTGAGTATGCAAGTGCTGCAGAAATCATTTGAAAGTGAAAGGACACTCTTAAAAATGTTCACTAATTTCTCCATTCTAAAGCTTACCTTAAAGAAATTGTCAAATATGGCAGCTTCTCTGTTGTTCCTGTTTTAAGACTTCCATGTATATGTGCAAAGATTTTTTTTTTCTTCCAACAGAATATATCCTCTGAAATTCTAGGAAACTTTTTCCTTTTACCTTATTCTTTTCTCCACACTTTGTGTTCATGAGCCTTGGCTCTCTTTTCCTTCTAGAGGACAATTTTACACATTTTTCCTTTTCACTCAAGCCTCCAATACCTTCTCCTCACTTTTCACTCTCACCTTATTTCTTGTTTCATGGAGAAAATAGAAGTAATCCAAAGACAATGACTGCTACATGGACAACCTCTGGCCCCTTACCCTATATACCCGTGATCCCATGACGACTGGATACGCCTCTCACGCCAGCCTCTCCAGTCGTGCACTGGATCCCATCCCCTCTGACCCACTCCGCAGCATCAGTCCAGAGGTTGACTCACTCTTTTGGGCATCATCAGTATCCCCTTCCCTGTGACTCCTTCTTGTCAGCAAATAGTAGGATATACTATCTCTCATCTTAAAAAAGAAAAACAGTCTTCTATACAAATGAAAAGACAGACCATGTGTTTAGATAAGAAGACCTACCCTCATAAAAACTCAGTTTTTTCCAAGTTACTGTGATAGTGTAGTATGACTGCAATAAAAATATCACTCTGTTTTTTTTTCTGTAAAGGTTAGTTGAACAAACAAGACTAGCTAGAAAAGCCCTGTGAAAGAGGGGCAGTAAGAGTTGCTAGGTCTAGCAGATCTCAAAACATGTTAAAGTTTCTACAATGCAAACTGTGGCTTAGAACATGAATAAGGCAGCTAATGGGACAGAATAGAAAGTGCAGATAGAGACCGAATTGCAGATACAAATTTAGTGTAACATAGAGGCAAGCATCTCAAATCAATCTAAATGGATAGACTAGTAAGTAGTACTAGGATAAGTAGAGAGCCAATAGAAAAAGATACAGTTGTATATGTTCTTATACCACAAACCAGGATACATTCCAAATGGATGAGAATTTAAATTTTTAAATTGAAACACACAAGTAGTAGATATAAACATTAGTAGATTATTTAATGTCCTGGGAGTGGAAAAACTTAGCTTTCAGTCAAAATCCAAATCAGTAAAAGAAGTGATAAATTTGGCTAAAAAATGTGAAAACCTGTTTTTTCGTGTGGCAAAAAGTCCACAAGCGAAGTCAAGAGGTAAGTAACAAATTGGAAGAAAGTACAGTTTTTAATCATACTGACAAAAGGCTAACTAGCCCTAATATTTCAAGAGCTCTTTTTGAAGCCAGGTGTGGTGGCTCATTCCTGTAATCCCAGCACTTCGGGAGACTGAGACAGGTATATCATGAGGACAGGAGATCGAGACCATCCTGGCCAAAATGTAACCCCATCTCTACTAAAATTATAAAAATTAGCTGGGCGTGGTGGTGCATACCTGTAGTCCCAGCTGCTTAGGAGGCTGAGGCAGGAGAATCGTTTGAACTAGGGACCCGAGATTGCGCCACTGTATTCCAGTCTGGGGACAGAATGAGATTCCATCTGGGAAAAAAAAAAAAGAGCTCTTTTTGAAAATTCTGAGAAAAGAACCAACAACCCTAAAGAAAAATGGGTAAGAGATGTGGACAGAAGTTACTAAAAATGAATCGTGAATGGCCTTTAAACATTAGAAAAGATTCTCTTGACCATATCAAGAGAAATGCAAAATAAAACTACCCTATGATATTTCTCTTGAATAGAAATCTGCAAGTTTGCCAGCCTACTTGGTTGGTGAGGCTCTGAGGAAATGGGCACTTTCATCTGATGCTGCTAGAGGGAATACAGATTGGTACACTACAAATAATTTCACCCTTTGACTCAATCCTCCCACTTCTTGGAGTATATTCTAAAAATATATTGGCAAATATAAAGAAGTTGTATGTACAAGGCTATTTGTTGCAGGCCAATTTGTAAGAACTGCAGACTGGAAAAAAGCCCAAATTTCCATCAGTAAAGGACTAGTTGTACAAATTAGGGTCTGTTCGTACAAAGGACTGCCATGTAACTCACAGGAAATGAGGAACAGCTACATCATACACTGTTACGGATCACCATTTATATGGATCACTTAAATATGTTTTTAAGTGACAAAAGTAAGATGCAAATGGGTATGCGTGGTATACCTTAAGAAGGTGGGACCATATAGTTATTTTTATACATTTACATTTTTGGAAAACACTACGGATGGAAAAAGCAAAACTTAAGTGGTTATGTTGATTTCTTTTTCAGATCTTTTTTTATAGAAATACTGCTGATTTTTGTATGTAAATTTTGTAACCTGCAGCTTTACTGACTTTATCAGTTCTAAAGGTTTTTTTGGTTGAGACTTTAGGAACCACAGTTAATTATTATGCACATTTCAGAAATGCCAAAGGAGTAGATTTTTAATGTTTCACTGCAGAAAAAGACACATTGGTAGGTGATGAATAGCTTTATTAGCTTGACTGAATCTTTCTATGGTGTACACATAGATTGAAACATCACATTGAACTTTATAAATTTACACAATTATTTGAGAAAATAATTGACAAATTATTTTTTTAATTTACTTAAAAAAATTAAGAAATAAAAGTTTTGAAAGTGAAAGTGAGGGATTGAAGCATGACTTCTCCAAATGTACCTTGTTTGTATATTTAACTTAGGAACTATTTAAATGTTTGCAGAACTATAAAGCAGAGTTAAATAAAAACGAAGAGAAAAAGCAATTCCTAAAAATGGAAAGTGAAATGAAACAAATGAACCCATGTGTCACATTGATGGCTTAAGTACACAAATTGGAATTCTTGTAGGTCATTTGAAATATAGTAATTTCTATGTCTCTTATAGCATGTAACAAGGTGAAAGAAGTGTAAAAAAATTGTACATTATTGACAGTGATCATGTTGTTACTGATAATACTGATATTGTCATTTTGACCAACCAGGCGACCTGTTGGTTGGTCCTCCCTTCCTCCCTCATTTCTCCTGCCTCTCCCTTTTATAGTTTGGTCCGGGCTGCAGCAGGATTGGCACTAGAGGGCAGTGGCTGCTTCCTCCTCCTGCTCAGTGTTGCCTTCCCAGCCCTGTTCCATTTCCTCACTTCCACTCAAAGGCTTCTTCCTGCTGATAAAAGGGAGCTTGTCAGGAAAATGACTGACTGGATATGGTTGATTTAAAGCTTCTTTCTATTTGCGGTCTTAGCTCTGTGTAGGCTGTGACCCACCCAACCCTTTTGGAGTAAGTTTAGCAAAGTAGGGAAAGTAGAAGCATGAACAGATTTTAAAGTGCATAGTTGTGTGTATGCGTACATGTCAAATGCAACTTCCGTTTTCTCAGCAGCATTGATGTTAACAATCATTCCTTAGACCTGATGCATCAATACATTGTCACCCATTTGTATGGCTAAAGCACCCAAACAAACTTCATATTGAAAAAATACTCATATAAGACTCTTTTACTTAGAAAATGAACCTCCAGTTCAGTGTCTTCCCTCTGGTTACTGTGGGACCACTCAAGGAACTGCTTGATGAGAAATGGATTGATTCATGTAATTCCAGTAGCTTTGGAGCTAGTTCTAAATATATATGTGTGAGATTGCAAGTGGAGTCTTATATTGTAAAAGTCTGCATTTTACAAATGGTGGATTTAATGTTTATGCCAACAGTTATTTAAAATGTGTCATGTAGGGAGATAAGACTATAAAGTATCATAGGTGCTATTATACCACCACAGGACTATTGAAAAGAATTGCTGATTTATTTCTGTAGTTATGTAACAGAACTGTTACAGTTTTTAGATCAAAATTACCTCCAGCTTGGCATGTTTGCTCTGCTGCTTTTAGAAGCCATATGCTGCACGTTAAGTCATTTTCACCTTGAACATGAGGACTAAACAAGCTATTCTTTTTTAAGAACATTAAGAAGTGCTTAAGCTGCTTGTCTGCAGGTATAGTTGGGAACCCTTGTCACAAAGGAAGATGTGCAGTTGCAAATAGTGTTATATATTTGGAAGAGGGCCAAAGGATTTGTTAGGAAGCTTCATCCCAATTCAATTCCATCAAGAAATGTGTTGAGATTCTACCCTTGATAAGGATTGAACTAAGTAAAATACTGATTTTATTCAGAAAGTAGCTTCACATTCTCCATTCTAGTTCACCCATTTTTGGGGTTAAATACCACCATATACTTGTGACTCTACTATGTATGCCTCTAGCCTAGACCTCTCCTTCATGTCCCAGACTTGTATATCCAACAACCTTCTAGACATACCCATTTAGGTGTTTCACAGCCATCTCAATCAGGTCCAAACAGAGCTCTTGATTTTCCCTTCCAAATCTCGTCCTCCCTGTCTTCTCTATCAGGAAATGGTAGCACCCATCATCCAGCTACTGAAGCCCCAGTTGAGAAGATAGCTTTGACTCCTCCCTTTCCTTCACCTATTCAAAAATTAGTCCTTTCAGTGTAAACTCCAAAATATACCTCACATATGTGTACTTCTCCATCTTTTCTGTACCTTTCCCAATCTAAACTACCATCCTTTCTTATATGGGCTGTGGTGTGGGCCTCCAGAATAGTCTCCACATTTCTGTACACTCCAGTTCATTCTCTATGTAACTTTTTAAACATAAATGAGATCATATCCCACTTTAGATGCTCCGATGGCTTTTTTAGAATAAATTTCAAAAAACTTACTGTGAAATGTATATAAAGCCCTATATAATTTGGCCTGCCTCCTCCTGCTCTAATCATTACATGGAACAAAGTTGATTCCACTGGTGTATGACCTCCTTTACTTGGTGTGTTTCATAATATATGATGTGTTATTTGAACCCCCCTTGTATATTAGGTATGATTTTCAAGTACTAATTTTGGACTTTTTGTGTAGCTTTTGGAATCCCTCATAGTAATACTTCGTCTGTGTGCCCCACTACCCTGGTTTTCACCATTTTAGGTGTATACATACCATAATTTTTTTTTAAAGACTCACTCTGTCACCCAGGCTGGAGTACAGTGGCATGACCACAGCTCACTGCAGCCTCTGCCTCCTGGGCTTAAGTGATCCTCCCACTACAGCAACTAATTTTTAAAAAATTTTTTTGTACAAAGTCTCACTGTGTTGCCTAGGCTGGCCTAGAAATCCTGTGCTCAAGTGATCCTCCTGTCTCAGCCTCCAAAATTGCTGGGATTAAGGCATGAGCCACCGCATCTGGCCTACCATACATTTTTGTTCATTTCTATTTCTTTTTCTAAGAGTTATAGTAAGAACAAGGAAGAAATCTTGCAGAGATGTAATGATCTGTTCTTGCTTTTTTCCAGCTGGCCAAAGTGAGGGAAAAAGTGAAGGATGTGCCTGCCCTTGTGGCCAAATTTGATGAGATCTATGGGAAACTACACGTCAGTGGCCAGGTCACCAATTATTCTTTGGATGCTGTGCTCTGCTACACCCCCAGGGACAAGAAATCCCACACATTGCTGTTAAACAAGAGGATGGTCAGCCGTCGCACCTTCCGGCCACTCAGCCAGTCCCTGTTGGCTGAGTAACCCTGGTTTCAGTCCACCTATGGATCTGAGGGGCCTGCTTCTAGTGAGTTATTGCCTTTCCTAAGAAGTCAGGCATCGCACTTCAGCAGACACTGTACTGACACTTGGTCTCCTCCTGAAATTCCCAGATTCACTGAATGGTACCATGCCAACCTGTGAGAAGTTATGTTGCATCACTGTGAAGGTCTAGATGCAAGCTTGGCTCCCTCAGAAAGGCGCTTCCCTTTTGCACTGCTGAGGATCCTTGAAGGAACATGGTCAGTCTCCAGTTCAGCTTCTGGCACCAGAGTGGAACCCAGTAAGCACCATCAGGAATGAATTTCACTACAACTGTGGACAACTCTGATTTCCAAGGGAGTAGTTACTTGCAAATTACATCCTTGCTGAATTCAGGAGGTCTAAAACCCTACTCTACCATGTTAGAAAACAGCCCAGGATTTTCTCATTGCTCTGCCATCATATATATCTATGACTAGAGCCCTCATTTTTCATCTGCAAAACAATATTGCCTATGTGTATTTGCATATAGATTTGAAATCTTCATTCAAGGTTCGGTAGGATCAGATTTTCTCAAAAATAAGATAAATAAGGTTCATAAGCAAACTTGATGGGATTGTGGTTGTTTTGTTCTCTCAGCAGCACAAACAAAACCAGAATTTAGCCTTTAGGACTGCTGAGTAAGCCAAATTTAAATGATTACTGCTTTGATCATGGGTAAGCCATGTGCTTTTCAAAATAAGTGCCACTAAAAGCCACATAATGCTTAGGTTTCTATGTGGATAATATTTAGTCCTATAGTTTATCTTATTTGTTAATGATTTTTCTCTCTTGAATGCCTCATATTAAAAAAAAAAAATGTGCCATGAGAGCAGTTCAAACCTGCTTCATACTTATGATGGTCTGAAATATAGTATGTGTTGAATTTTACCGTATCTGTTCACCAGTGAGCAGAAGATACACAGTGACCCCACCTCACTTGCTCCTTTTGTTTCAGAAAGCCCAGAGGGTTGCTCAGACCTCAGGAGCTGTCTGCCAAGAGTGCTGCAGACTCTTCATTGCTACCTCCAAAACTAAGACTGTTCACTTGGTGGTTGTTCTGAGGCAAGGATTATAGAGTCAGAAACTGTAGACTAGGAGGAGTCTCCTAATTAATTCCTTCATCTTTCAGGTGAAGGAAATGATCCATGCAACAGATCCCTAATCTCACCTGTACACTGTGTCCCAGTGAGAGAATCACAGCGTCAGGTGTTTGCTGAATCCAGGTCTGAGATCACAGTCCCACCTGAGGACAGGATCCACATATGAGAGTCACAAATTGGCATAATTGATTTGTGGTAGAGCTGAGATTAGAATCCAGATTCCTAGTCTAGTACCTTCCCACTGTACCACATTATGTCTGCAGAGGGGAAAAAGGAGCAGCTCTTAAGAAATAGAATACTAAGGGCCCCCGTGACTGTGTGGCCCTGGGCATCCTCAGTTTCCTCATTTGGTAAATGGGGATAATAGTACCTACCTCTTAGGCTTGGTGTGAGGATGAAATGAGATAGGGAATATAAAGCAAGCAGATAGTGGCTGGCACATAGTACATGCAATATGTTTGAAACTAGTTAAGGAATTATAAAAACAAATGAGTTCTTCCTTCTCAAAAATACTGAATTTCTTTTCCTTGTACTCTGTGAAACACTGGACAGCCCCATTTAGAGAAACAAATTCTCTGCCCTCATAGAATCCTAATTGTTTCTGTATGTGTCTGGTGTTTTGCACACACGCCAAAAAAAAAAGTGCTTGGATTTCTCCACCTTCAGTCTCAGTTGCTTCCTGTCCCCGCAACTTACTCTTCATCTTCAACTCTCACAGTTCAAATGGCTCCAGTGCTGTGGGTGAGTGTGGCCCTGGTTGTTAGCTAACAACCATTCATTAGCAAAATAACCAAATTTTGTGAGCAGTAAATAGCAACAAGCTTCCCAGTCCCTGCTGCCCTGAGCAGCAGGTGGCTGGTGCTCAGCTGACTGGAAAAACTGGTCCATTCCACCTGTCCCAGAAACCTTAGTGCAGAGGTAACTAATATGCATAATGTTCACCCCAAAGTAATAGATAATTCTAAAGTCTAAAAAATTCCAATAAAAAAGTGTTCAATATAGGTTATGATGGGCATTTCATTCTTTAAAACTCAGTAATTCCTTTGAAAAAATGGTGTTTCTTTGTAAGCAGTAGTTTGCCTACATCATTTACTTATTCTGTTTTTTTCTGCTTTGGGGTTGTTTTGGTTTTTTTTTTTGTTTTTTTTTTTTTTTTTTTTTTTTTTTTTTTTTTTTTGAGACATAGTTTCGCTCTGTTCCCCAGGCTGGAGTGCAGTGGTGTGATCTCAGCTCACTGCAACCTCCGCCTCCTGGGTTCAAGCAATTCTCATGCCCCAGCCTCCCAAGTAGCTGGGATTACAGTTGCCCACCACCACACTGGCTAATTTTTTGTATTTTTTTTTAGTGGAGGTGGGGTTTCACCATGTTGGCTAGGCTGGTCTCTAACTCTTATCCTCAAGTGATCTGCCTGCTTTGGCCTCCCAAAGAGCTGGGATTACAGGCATGAGCTACCACACCTGGCCTACTTATCCCATTAATGAAAATATTTGATTGGACAGAACATCTTATTCCTTAACTCTGTTGTGTGCTTTTGTAGACTGTTTTTACTTACTGTAGACATGTGTTGCTCCAGAGTCCCAAAAATCAGTATGGTGAGTTCAGCACAATACTGGAGGAGACAAAAAGATATCTTCTTAATTAGTTGATATCAGGGATAGTTCTAGTTATTGATTGCTGTGTGGAAAACACTTGAAAACTCAGTGGCTTTAAACAACACCAGTCATTGAGTTATTTCTCATTATCCTAAGTACTGACTGGGCTCAGCCAGACAGTTCTTATTCAGGTTCTCATGCAGTTATAGTCATCATCAGATTGTGGCCGGGACTGGAATCATCTCAAAGGCTTCCTTAGTATTTCTGGCAGTTGATGCTAGGACCTCAGCTAGTGCTGGGGCTGGAACATATCTACATGTAGCTTCCCCACAGCATGGTGGCTAGGTACTAGGAGTGACTGTCCCAAGAGAACCAGGCAGAAGCAGTTACCTTTTATGACCTACTCTCAGAAGTCACATAACATCACTTCCACTAAAGTCCCAATGCCCCTCCCCTCCCCTCGGTTCAAATGGAGGGAGCATATATCCCATCTCAGTGGTAGAAATTTCAAAGAATAAATTCTGTGAAACTGTCATAGATAAGTCTGTTTTCTCCCCTGTTTAACTTCCTGAGGACCTCACATGCTTCTGGATAAAGCTCAGGCTCTCCAACGTGGTTTAGAAGGTCCTTCCTAATCTGGCCCACGTTTGTCCATCCAGCTCCAACTCTTGCTACTCTACACCCCACTTCCCTGCTTGTGGAATGGCTAATTCCTACTCATCCTTCAGGTCTCAGCTTAGACATCTTTTCATCTGAGAAGGCTTTCTGGTCTAGCTCACCTGGTTAGGTGAACTCCCCATGTGCCTCATGTACCTCACTTATCAAAGCATTTATCATATGCCTGTCACTGTCTGTTTTCTTCACTAGACTCAGGTGCCATGTCTGTCCTTTCTCTGTTTGCTGGGTGCCTAGCACAGTAGGGAATATAACAGAGGATTAGTACTTATTTAACTCACCAGCTGATTTAACTATATTGTATAACAATGTTGGTGGTCATATTGGTCCCCCGTGGACAGCTTTTCCTCTCTAATACCATACACTCAGTGCAGGGTTTGAATGTCCCCCCAAACTCATATGTTGAAATCTAAATCCCCAAGGTGTTGGTATTAGATGATGTAGCCTTTGGGAGGGAATTAGGGTGGTGCCCTCATGAATGGGATTTGTGCCATTATAAAACAAGCCCAAAGAAATTTGGTCGCCCCTTCCTTTAAGCGAGGACATGGCAAAAAGGCACTTTCTGTGATCCAGAAAGTGGGCTCTCACTAGACACCAAATGCTGGCGTCTTGTTCTTGGATTTCCCAGCCTTCAGAACTGTGAAAAATATATTTCTGTTATTTATAAGCCACCGGTTTTTGGTATTTTGTTATAGCAGCCTGAAGAGACTAAGACAGCCAGTCCCAACCTTCCACATTTAGACCTGACTCCCAAGTTTTGCTCAGCCCACTGTGTATCCCTTCCTCCTCCCAACTAAAGTATCCTCATTCTTTATCCTGTTCTGCCCATTATTCAAGGTCTAACTTCTGTCACTTTTTCAATGAGGCATTTGCAAGCTGTTTAAATCCTCAAGGATTCTCCATTCATTCACCGTATCTATATTGAGCATCTACAAAGGACAAGGCACTACGAAAGACTCTTTACATGCCACAGGGAAAAGACAGACAAGAACTCTGTCCCAACACAGAAGATTTTAGCCTGCCACATTGACTCCCAGGGACCTTTTGGCCCATTCATTTGCTTGTTGTTTCTGTAGGAGGTGCTCATTACAGAGTGGTCAAACTCCTACTGAAGAATGGACTTGGCTGTGAAATAAAACAATCCTGGGCAATATTTGTTGATATTTTTGTTGAGGATGATTCAGGAAGTAAATACAAACTTTTAACTACTCATAATGAATATTGTTGGGCTATTATAATGAGGAGGTAAGGATTTGCCTGCTACAATTTGGGTAGGCAAAAATGTAGGCTTCTCTATTTCTTTGCAGTGAACTAAAACTTCTTATAAACTTTGGTTATACTGAAAACAGGAGTCATGGGAGACTTGATCTTGCTTAAAGGATATTTTGGTCTTTGATTTCTTTGAGGTAAATGTTTAATCTTTTTGCATATCTTCCTCCTACCTTTTCATAGCCAGGATGATAGCTGAGTATAAGGCTGTGGCTCTCAAACCTGAACATGCATCAGAATCACTTGGAGAGCTTGTTAAAATACAGATTGATGGGCCCCACCCCCAGAATCTGATTCCGTACATATGAGTCAGGACCCAAGAACTTGCATTACATATGCATTCTCAGATGATGCTGTTGCTAGTCTGGGCAACACACTTTAAGAATAGTTGGTATAACAGAAAGCTTGTGTGTCCATTTGGACAGTAGGTGTGGGCTTCAGATTCATCCTCTGTGTCCTCTGTCTCAGTTATGAGGAGGGGGAAGAGTGGGAAGTCTGGCCTTGTCTCTGGACTCCTGAGTAAATAATATGCTGAGGCAGTGTTGGGCCCAACAGGCCTTTTAGAGCATTATGCCAGCACCCACTGCAGAGGTCTGTATTCTCTGCCATCTGCCCGACACATAATAAGTACCCTTCCTCTGCTGTTCTCTCATGCTGACCCCAAGCCCACCAGTGAATTAATTGAATCCAGAGTTCCAGGGCATTAGGATTTAAAGACAATGAAAATATATATCCATTTTTTCTCCAATATGCATAAAGAAATCCATATAAACTAAGGCCAATTGTGGCAAAACTACACAAGACTTGACTAAAATAACCCACAATTCAAATTTCCTTCATGACATTTCTACCTATAAATTTGATTCAGAGAAATTACACTTCATAGATAAACTAGCCATAAAAAAGATTACAGTGGCAAAAGCTATCATCAGTAACATTTGATATGCATAAGAAACCAAGGAACCAAATCATGGTAAAATTGATTCTAAGGAAATGATTGCACAAAAATAAAAGTGAAATGATACCTTTTAAAAGGAAGTGGTTCAATTGTATTGCATAGAAAATGAATCAGGGAATTACATTGACTTAAATGGCATTAGCTCAAAAAAGTGTACTCAACAAAAATTAATGGAAATTGGTGTATTCTGATTGAGATATGTTCTATTCAATAAGATGGAGTCAAAACAAGAAGATTTTTTAAATGTCCTCTGTTCCCATGGAGCTTGCATTCTGCAAGAGCAACAGGCATCAAAAAGATAACTGGGCAAATGACCACATGATTGCAGTTGGGATAAATGCTAAGTCTAGGGTAATATTCATATCACCCTGTGGCATGTGTAAGTGGGGTGTGTGTGTGTGTGTGTGCGTGCGTGCATGTGCATATGCACACACACACGTATATAAAGGAAGACCTTTTGCTGGTGTTTTGTAAGACCAGTTGTCTGTGTCATTTCTTTGAACACTTAAAGTACACTGCCATGTATTGTTACAAATCTTTTTCTCCATATCTGGTCTCTCCTGAACAGAGTATTCTACATTTGTTTTATATGACCCCAAGGTGCTTATGTAGCATGTTATTTATACATTTAGTGGGGTCTTAATATGTTTTGAAAGCGTGATTTCATCAATTAATGGCAGATTTTAGTTAATATGTACAGTCTGCCACAATTTACTTTAGGAACTTCACTGTTTTCTCAAACTGGTTGCTGTTTCTATCCCAGTTTTACATATGACAGAGCCAAGACACAGAGAAGTGGAATGACTTGGCCTGTGCGGGGGTCCTGGGTTGGCCAGTGCATTCATGTACTGAACCAGAGCCCCTGTATCTTGCAGTAATGTATCCATGGGAGTTTCTCCCCAGACATTGCAAGCACACAGCTAATCTGAGAACGAAGTGATTTGGCGAGGGTTTGGGGGAGTAGGCGGTGGGCACAACGGTTCCAAGTGACTTTCAAGTTGCTAATGAAAGAGGATCAAAATGCTGCTGAACTGCTCACCTCCCCACTTGGCCTGCTTGCTCAGCTGACTTTCTTCCAAGGGCCTCAGAAGCAGCCTTACCACAGCCATTAAAGATGGGGAGGGGGAGAGAAGGCCCAGAGGGAAAGGGAACCACATGCTTACCTGCTAATCACTGCCCTGCCACTGAAACACTGCAGAGCTGGCTGCTCTGGGATAGGAGAGGAAGGCCTCATTTAATCAGGTGGAGAAGAGAGAGAACCAGGGGCCTCTGAGTTGTCCTGCAAGGCATCACAGTCTGAACTGTGGGCCTGCCTGGAAATGTATTGTCGGATTAGAGTGATGCTTTGTAAATCCCTTGTCTTCCCTGATTCATTTTTCCTGACCCAAGTCAGGCCAAGATGCTCACCCTGAAGAGCACAGCATCACCCTGTCTTTTAATCCCCCAAGTAGCCCCTTACCCCTAGACAGCAACATCACCTGTTACAATTGACAACATGAAGAAAGGC